ACATTTTGAGGGGAAAAAAAGACGTTTAAGTGCGCCTTATAGTCGTGAAAATACGGTACATGTTCAATAAAAACATTATTTTCCTCAAAAAACAAAAACAAAGCAGCTTTAAATGTTTTTTTTTAGTCAGATGCTCATTAAGTTGGTTTTAGTTTTTACTTAGATTTGTAAGAGAAGCTCAGTTGGGTCAAGACTGAAATGACTGACTTGACTGCCAGAAATTTTCTAGAAAACTGACTGGATTCAGAACGAAAGCAGGTTCTGCGTCTCTGCAGTGACCAGCCTTAAACATAGAATGTTGCATAACTATGGAATTAAAACAACTATAGGATAAACATATTTTAATGTTTTATTCTTTTTTTCATATTTCTTCAGACTTGGCTTTGAGAAAAAATAAAGTCAAGACTTTAGGGACTGTGTGAATAGATCAAAGTGACATTTTTTTCTTTAGATTTTTTTTTTTTAAACTAGAACTGACAACTTACCATAAACATAGAAACAAAGATGTGTTTGAATATTTCAATGTTTTTTGTTGGAATTTAGAATTCCAACAAGAGAAGAGAACCAGAAGAGAAAACATTCCCACTGCATCTGAGCGTGTCAATTCAGGCTTTTATTTTGAAAGTCCAGAACAAACAAAAACAGGTTCAGTCATTTTATGATTTACTATAAAGTGTGCAACGTAAGTGCTGAAGCAATTATCAAATTATGATTTAAAAACCATGAGTACGGGAAAAATAAAAAACACTGAAAGATGTGTATTAAATCCAGAATGAAAGAAGGGATTTAGGGAAAGAATAAGTTACTCGGAGTTCGTCCTGCTTGGTGCTTTCAAAGAACGTCTGCAGAGTCGGTTCTGTGGATCAGTGCTGGGAAGCAGCTTTGGCTGAGGAGAGAAAAACAAAAAGTCTCAGTCTCTCTATCACACGAAGAATAAAGGCTGCTTTTATCACCACCAGTGGAATCAGGAAGAATCTGATCAATGTTTTCTTTGTTGCATTAAATGCTTCTGTCCGTCATGCCTCTCTGTTCTCCTTACTGAACGCTCATCAGTACCGAAGAAGCAGCAGAGAAACACGATGTTCTGCAGCTGTATTCCATTTTCCCCCATCCTATAATGTTACTGCCTGAAGGCTAAGAAGAAGTTCAGTTTTGGACATGTTGATGGTTTGTGGTTGACCTTTAGCTTTTAGCAATAGCTTTCTTCTCACTATCAAAGCCTAAACCTGAGGAGAGCTTCATCCTCTTCATCCACCAGATTATCTAAGCTGAGCTGGGGATTTCTGCAGCTCCTCCAGAGTCGACATGACGCTTCTTGGTTGCTTCTCTAATTAACGCTCCACAAGTTCTTGTAGATGATGGATTGATAAATGTTCCGTTTTCCTCGGCCTCCATGATGATTGTTCTCTAATGCTACCTGAGGCCATCCTAGAACATCAGGATTTATTAGGTTAAATCTAACATGGAAACTGTAACAATGAAGAGACTTTTAAGGTCAGCAATTGTGTTGGAATTTTATCTAAAAAAAAAAAGCTAACCACACTTTTCAGATATCAGATACTTTTCTATGATTCTCGATATGTGTTGGTCAGTACCATAAAATCCAGGATAGCTTTTGCCAAACAATGCTTTCGTTTCATTTTGATGCCCCCACAGACACACATGCCTTTTCCAAAGCTGGTTTACATGCAGTCAGTGGGTGACGCGCAACAAGGTGCATCAAAATGTCCTGCAGCCCATCCTGACACGTCTGGTGCAGCACCTCTGAGGCTCTGTTCGAAAACCTAGGACGCATCCTTAGAAGACC